GGAGCATGAAGACGAGTTTGCTGACCGCACTCAACCTGTCAGTCATTGGTTTTCTTCCTTTTTGGATTCGAAGTTGTCAAAAAAAAGCCCCCGAAAAAGGTTTCCATTACAGCATAGCCAAGCGATCTTAAACGACCTGTGCTAACGTTCATGTCAAAGTACTCGTTTAAAAACAAAGCCTAAAGCAGCCTTCATTTATTGATATAACACAACTTTTTGCCGTTAGTTTTCTTTAAATGTTTAAAAACAAAAATTTTCCGGGTTTACATTTTTCTGAATGCCGTTCAAAATTCTCGCTCGAGCTGCCGTATGCTCTCTGGCTTGGGATGTAGTCCGTCGACTGATATGTCTGGTCTGAAGCTAATTTTTGTGGTTTTCACGAACGGGATTTCCTATGCTTCTGCCAGACGTCTATAACATTTGTTTAGCCGCTTTATGATACCTTATTGATACGTCCGACCAATCAATCCCATAAGTGACACATTTATGCCTCAGGTCAAGTACCTTCAAATTAGGTATTCCATCTCTTCGACAACTTCAAGGTCCGTTATTTCTGTCTAAAAATCTGTTTGTCCCACTCAAGCTTTCAGACACATCCTATCATCACATGCCTTGAGGCAGAATGAAGCTTTAAAATTGCACGACAGCTTCCACGTCAAAATTTAGTAAAACTCGTGTATTGCGGAACTGAATGCCTATTTCGTCAAAAATGATGAACAGCGAAGGTGGAGAGAAATTTACTGGAATCTCTATCCAGACCAAGCCGGCGCAAGCTTAGAGGTTTTGGTAAATATGAGGAAATCCGCCTCCCTCTGACAGCCAAAGTATCAGCTTCGAAGGCAAACCCGGCGCCAACAAGCCGAGCAACATATTCTGCTAGCAGTATCTTATTACTAGCAACAGACCCAAAGATTGTCACAAGCACCGCAAAATTGGAAGAACGACAGCAAAGTTTCAACCAGACGATGCCCCGACAGTGGATTAAGCTATTAACAAGGTGAAAGCGGCTGGTTCAGATGACATCACCAGGCTGTATATGAAAGACTTCAAACCTCAGCGATTAGTTACTTGTGTAGCACATTCGACACTGGCATCATACCCACCATGTGGAGCTATTCCAACGTCGTCACCTTACCCAAACCTGGCAGAGAGCACTACATTGGCGAAAACTGAACACCTATCAGTCTGCTCAGCGCTTCTGCCAAGATCACAGCGACACCGAAACCTAGGGAAAACCTTCTCAACACGGCTTCCGCGAGCATTATGTTACCAACACTCAAACCTCATAGTTGTCGACATCAATTGTGGTTTGAGCCTCAAAAGTTCAAGCGGCAGCAGTATCTTGGGGGGGGGGGGCGCTATCTATGATACGGTAGATCACAAGTGCCTCGCCGAATGCCTTCCCCGTCACCTAAGACATCAACTTCATCGTCAAAAAGATTTTTTTGTTGTTTAGTTTTAGCTAGAAAGGGGAAACTGAATTGGTTAATGAACCAGAGAAACTAATTAATATTAAATAAAATATTCACAAAATACGAGAATTGTTAGATTGGAAACTCAGTCTATGTTGCCAGTCTGAAAAATTACTTGATAGATAATGAAAAAAATCGCTTTTCGCCCATCTGAACTTCGTTACACCACCGCTAAATACTTCACTAACGCTAATGAAATTTACTGGCCTTGAAAAGATAGTGAAGTTGAAAAATGATTTTGCGATTGAAAGCTGAACACTGCCGGGTAGTCGAATTCGAAGTTTCGACTAAAAATTATAATGCTATAATTTTTGAATTTTTTCGGCTAACTTTTATCAGACTCGACAAAAAAGTTTCCTCGTCATTTTTGGGTGATATATTAAAATAGGTGGTAGGTTCAAGTTAAATAGGTGGATCGCTTTTTGTTATACTTAACACAATATTTATAATTTGTTTCAAAAGCCTAACTTTTTGGCAAAAGAAATGTGAAATTTGAATTTTTGAATAGCATTTCATCTGGCAGTGTAATATATTTACTATCCTAGTAGTAGTATAATTGATTGAAAATGAAATGACTATATTATGCATTATAGTTTTCTAATTTAATACATGCACTACACTCAAATTACCACCTATTGTAACATATCGCCCATTTTTGTACTGTTTTAAACTCCTTAGAAAATTGGCGCTTTTCCAAACAACGCTAGCGTTCATTTTAATGCTTATTAATGATTATCAGTTTTAAAACAAATCATCGCTGTCTCAATTGCTGCAACAACCTGATACAAAATACACTTCCATCCACTAGAAGCTTTCTTTGAATCAAGATCGGCTGAAAAAATTAGGGCTTACGCCATAGTTCCTTCCTTTTATAATTGTAGCAGTGTAAACTGCTATACATATGAATAAACAGTTGCTTTTTCTACATTGTACCAATAACAATGATAGCGCTTTTCGGCGTATTTAACCTTTTTACATTTGCGAAGCAAAGTGTATAAGTACGAACTTTCTTTTTTTACAAGCTTAGTCGCAAATATTGGTACCAATTTTGGGGCACCTTTACAGCTTTTGGATAGAATGTGCTTTGACAGTCGAGTAGTAATATGTTAACACAGTTGATGCATTTTTACACAAGCAATGCTTGTGTTATATAGTATGAACTATGTATATTTTTTCCAACCTAAATAGCAAATATTGTTGCGACACAAATATTGCTGCGATAATGTGTACACTTTCGCTCGTTTTGAAAGTGTACATTTTGTTCAATAACCAGATATTAAGTACAGCCAATGCTAAGGATTTTAACACAGACTATTATTGTTCTAACTTTTGTAACGAAAGTAACGGAATATTTGTGCTCGGGGTGGTTTTTTTTTCTTCAGACAAATTTCGACTTTTTAACTAGCCATTTTTGATAATTCAAATAGTATTGTTGTCCTGAGCTTAAATTTGAAAAGATATTTCAACTGTTATCATTTTTTCGTAAAGTTATGGGGGTATAAAGTTTACCATTTTGCCAAATTTGGGACAATATACGCGCGATATTTTTCGCGCTATCAACGCGCAAGTGAGATTTAATCCGTCAAAGAAATCGTTCCAAATTGGTTGAAGGAAGCGTATTTGCCATAATTTATTTGTTACTAGGAGCGAAATTTATCACTTTTTTGCTAAATATGGCGTGTGGGAGGATGATTTTAACATAAAATCTCAATTTAAAAAAAAATCATTTTATTTTAATTACATTAAATTTTGCATGTTATTACTGTTCCATAGGCCACTCTATAAATTGAGGCATGTTAGTTGCTAAAATTGTTTTTTTTTTCAAATTGACTGGTACTGCTAATGCGTCATAATTGGCGTCCGTCACTTAAGAAATTTTGTAGACTCAAAGTTTTACCCATTCCGTTTTTCCCAGAAGCGTTTTCGGTCATATTTTCGCTTGTGTATGCGAAGTGCAACTTCGCCTGTGTAAATTCATCAAAAGAACCGAAACAAATCTAATTGTTTCAAACAACATAACTATAATTAAAAAGCAATTTCAGAAATTTTCTAAATCCATATATCGCAATTTTTTGAAATGCATAATTTATGCATAATGTGGCTTTATGCTTTCCGGTTTGTTATATGCAAAGTTAGTGAGGATGCTTTGTTTGTTATATTCCAAACTATTACTTGCAAAATTGTGTCTTTTGTATTTGGTGCTACTTTTGCTTCATCGAATCGGCAATTTATTGGCATATGTAACTTCGTTATTGGTGTTTAGTGTTTGGGGATATCCAGCGTCCGTGGCTGAGTGGTTAGTGTGAGACTCAAATTTGCTAGATCGCATATTCGAATCCGACACGTAGCCGAGTTTTTGCTAACTCGAGGCTTAATTCTACTTTTTCTGTTTTCTTTGATAGAGCTGCTTTTTGGTCGTGTTCTCGCAAGTGTTTGCGAAGCGCAGCTTCTTCTGTGTAAATGTTTCTATCTCAATTTAAATATCTCCACAGAGTTTATTGGAATTAATTGAGAAAATAATTCTCAATCAAGTTAAAAGTTAATACTCATTTCTTGTGACAAATTGTGATCTGGCTAGCCGTTCATGATTTCTATTTTGCTTTGATTAGCTGAAATGATGCGAAAAATGTACCGGGGAGAGTATCGCGAACCTGGATCTTCATTTTAAATAAGACAGAACTATGATCTGAGCCGATCTGAATAAAAGTAATATTGATTTATTGAAAAGAAAATCAAATAAAATTGGGCTCACAATTTTCCGATGAAAGGAGAAGTACGAGAAAAAGCCTATGATGAGAAATCTCAAGTAAGGTTGAATCAGAAGTTTTTGATGAAGGAAACCGACTTATATTCGGCAGAGCTTATTTTTTCTCACAACATTTAGTTGTGAGAGGAATATCTTTAGTGGATCTATCATTTAAAAAGAAAACAATTTTAATTTCCTTTTCTACTTTCAGCATAAGTTATTGAGTCTAAAAATGCAAGAAAGCTGCCGAGTATAGGACACCCGAATCATCATTACCCTTAATTTTTTTTTTGAATTTATTTTGCATGAAGGGTTTCTGCTCAGGTTTTTCGGCTTTGTTACCGCTTGGTAATTATAAATTCAAATCCAATCAAACATCTGGCGTAAAGGTAAAACAACTGCTTGAGACGGCATAATTTTGCGGTGCGAATCCGGCTGGGCCCTTTTTTGCAAACTAGAGCTTTAGTGGTTTTTCCGACTATCGTCCCTCTACTTTTTTGTCGGCTTACTTCCCCAAGCTCAATGATTTAGCTTTAATCAAAGTTGCTGTAATCCCAATGCTGGAGACGACAAAGCCCGGGAGTTTGATTCCAGATGATACCTGTTGTTCTTGCAAATAGAAAATTTTGGCTAATTTAGATTTTTAGATGTCTGCTTAATTCCGCAGAAAGCATTTTTTTTTTGAAAATTTGGGTATAGCATTCTCAAAGCTCTTTCTAGAGTTTCTAATGGTGCTGCCAATTTTGTTCCGGATATTTTGGAATTTCGTTGCAATTTTTTTTGACAAATCGATTTTTTTTAAAATTTTTTCCGTTTGATTTTCATAGTCATTCATATTTGTATCGCAAGTGGTGCGAAGCTCAGCTTCGCCTCTGTGTCAGCGTTTCACCGCTGACCTTTGAGCACGGAACCAGTACCAACAACTAAAACGCTTAATAAAATCGTAAATGAACTGACTAGTTTCGTCACACATTGGAATGAGACTAGTGTCAATTCGCTGTTCGAGGAATTCGCTGTTCGATTTATTTTTGCTATCAAGTATATCCATTTGTTTTTATTGTTCCGACTTCTTTTTCCCAGTGTCGAGAAAAGCCGATTTGAAATTTTTCATTTTTCGTCTAATTTCGAGCGAGTAAAGTGAGCTATTCTTCACAAATTGTTGTCCTGTATGCCTATTTTACAATGACTGTCGAATATGCCTAAATTATAGTCTTACATCAGATCCTTTTATCACACCACGCAGAAAAAACTTACACTCATTTGAAAACAAATTTTGCGAACTTTTAAAGACTACATTCTTGTTCTACTTGCACAGTAACCGGCTATCCTTGTTTAATTATTATCTTTTTAACTATAGGCGACCTAAGTAAATCATACTGAGAGACTTATAGATTAAATTACTGAAGAGCAAACAGCAATGTTCTCTCAGTAAATTATTGTCGTTTTTTGGATTGAAGGCGTATTTGTTATCGCCCGTTGTGAATGCGGTTTGAACTTGGTTTTCAAATGTTCTCACGAAATAAGTAATATTTTTTTCTTCCATAAAGAAAAGTGTGGACTCTCATCTAACAATCTAAATATCAATTTTATGTATCCGGTCTTTTATGGTGCTCATTGTTTTCAATTAACTATATTCACAAATTGGTAGAACATGAAGCAAGTACTGAATGTACAAAACAATTATAAAAAAATTAAATATATAAGTTGAACTGTAATGGAGGGCATCAAATCATGACACTAAGTGTCGCTCTGATGTGGTTGTTCTTCAAAATTTGGAGTGCGACTTTGTATCGTCATATTGCTCGTTTGTATTGCAAGTTCTGCAAATTCGACTGTAGATTTGTCTTCTTTGAGCTCTTCGGCAGAAATATATTCAGTTTCCAATCGACCTCCTGACAATAAAGAAGGTGATTATTCAAATACTGGCTGAAAATAATAGTCAGCAGAGCCCATCTAGAATGATATATTTCGTTTTTGATAAACGGTAAAATGATCTGACCCGTCGTCGTAAAATGCTCAGATTCCATTTTAGTTTTCATAGCATAGAAGTTTTGGTTTTGAAATATCCGAAGAACTGAATAAATTACTAAGTGTTAATACCGTTTATGAGTTCCAGGAGTTTCTGCCATTGTGGACTCGATCGGATCCACTCTGATGCGCCTTCTTGGTCCTGATTCTTTATACACTCGATCAGGGAACCCATGTTGCTCTGTAAAGACCAATGATGACTACTACCGATGTATAAAGAAGTCAATGCAATCCAATGTACTTAACTTGTCTTGAATGTTTTGTCATTTAATTCAGAAACTGTGCTATGGGTGGCAAAGGTGGGGATCCCGGGTTTCTTTGAACGGGCGGGTATTTAATGGCTCAAATTGTGTTTCTGAGCATCTTCGATGCACTGAAGTTCTTCTTTATTCACTATGTCTCCGACTTTTGGGGCAGTGTTTGAAACATTTTTAGTAAAATGAGCTCACCCAAAGAGGAGTGACATCGAGACTGGTGAGGTAAACGAGTAGATGGAAGTCAGAGATGGCCACCAGGAACTCCTCGTGAGTGAACTGACACAGATACTTGTTCAGGGTGTCCAGATCCTGCACTTCATGCATCTCCTCCCGATGCTCAATTGGAAAAGGTTTCTTGCCATGCACTTTGAACGTGTATTCTTGTGTAAGTGGGAACTCGGCCGGAACCTGAAAGATAATGTCAATTCTAAGTTGCATCTATAACTCTAGGAAAAATCAAATTCGTTAGACAATCAAAAGAATTGATACTTACTTTAAAACTATTTCACGGTGTAGCTAACGGCTACCAAGTGTCATCAAATGGGAAATGAATTTCATAAATGTTTCAAAATAAGTTTTCTGGTTTCACCTTTAAACTACTTACAGCTTATTCTCGTTTTAACTACTACTCATAGGTTAGTTCTGCCTGGTCCAAGAAATTAGGTTTTTTTTCTAAGTCTGTTGAGTTCGAATATTAGTTTTTGAGGGTCATTTTTTTCGGGGATAATTATAGTCACATGTCGACTACTCACCGAAACAAGTATATGATCAACAGGTAAAGGCCTAGCATTGTACTTCCTGTGCACACCATCCTGTCCCACAGCCTCAAAGTAGAGTCCAGGCAGTGGCTTCTCCTCCGTACTCTCGGATACCCAGGCTAGCTCTGGACTGCCAGGGAGTGCGGAGATGAGACCCTCTCTGACTAGCGCCGAGCACTGGTCAGATACCATCATACCCTCGAAGTGGATCTGATTAGACGTATCACCTGAAGATGGAAAGCGCATCTGAAGTTAAGCCTGAAGTTTTTTGCGCTGAAGCTTTTTCGCCAACCAAGCTAGAATGTATAATTTGAGAGACCTTGTTAGTCATTACAGTAAATATTTGGAACAATGTTTGTTGCAAAATACCGCTTCTGAGCGTTTTTGGAATGCTTGAACCGAAAGTACAAAACAAACTAAATTTGAGAGATATGAATGCGCGCATATGAATGCGCGCCGAAAAAAGCAAGAAATGGTCAAACATGAAATTGAACAGCCAGTTCGAAGTATACGTTGAATCAGAAGACTTCATCAATGCTAAAAGATTATTAGGACAGATTTTCTAGTGAAATTTTGAAGAAAGAAGACAAAGCTAATTTTTTTCTTACTACAAAATTTTCAACCTCACTCGCCATAACAAGAAGTAACGTGAATCCGTAGAAGGTGAAAAAATAAAGGGTTGTCTCACCTGTGACGCATATGGTGACAAACTTTGACCCAAACACGCCTGGCTTGCACTTCTCGCACACTCTGGGCTTCCTGTTCTGCAGTTCCCCTGCCATTATGCACTCCTCCGCACTCAGTTTACTGCCTTCTCCCTGGAAACAAAATCATTTAATGACTTCAATGGCTTTATGTTCAGATAATTTGCCCACAGAGCTCAAAAACGGCTGATCTCAGAAAACTCAAACAAGTGTCGTTTAGCAGTACCAAAGGAAAGACCCTTGGGATCCCCCTTCCATGAATCCGCTACTGCGCTGGAATCTGGTTTAATATTTGAATTTGTCTTGTTGCGTTAGGTGATATTGTTTTTCACAATTTAATTTTTGTCGCAATAATAGATAAAGAAGCTTCATTTTTGAGCGTAATGCGAGCTCTAGCTCCTTTTTTCTGGTAGGTAAGAAGTGAAAATTGAATAAAGTAGTTAGTAATTTTGTAGAGTTACATTGTCGCGTGTGCACTTGATGACGTTCTCCCTCTCGGCCATGAGGTCAGTGAATATCCAGCCTATCTTGTGCATGCCCAGCTGAGTGGCAAGCTGCTGCACCTGGCTCTCCTTCACGTCGTCCAACAACTCAATGTTCTGCTCAGTGTTACGCTACACTCAACACAGCACAACAAACCATAATACAATTTTAGCCTGCCTTAATCATTCACGGTATAGTATGACAGTTGGTTCTCATAATTATATGTAAGTCGCTGGAGGAAAAAATTAAGCCATCGAAGTTTTCAGAAGCCAACGGCTTAATTGTTTGAAGTGTTTCGCAAAAATAACAGAACCCGTTTTTGATCGTTGATACTTGCTTGTTCTAAGACACCAATTAGCATACTTGTACTGTCGGAATTTCTTATGTTCCCTGAACTCTTTCATGCTTTTTTCGTTTTCACTTCCGTACGTCGTAATAAATTTGGGTCATGTTTTTCAGACAAAACTTTGGGTATTAAATATCGGGCTCCTCGGGCATAAATTCATGCAGAGTAAATAAACTAAATGGAGATATTACTAAATATTGGGACCTAAAATTGAGTGGAAAAATATTTTCCAGAAGCTTTCAGAAGGATCAAGTACTTCTAAGTTAAACCAAAGGCAAGCGTTGTGTTAGGATTGCCAATAAAAACATGAAGATCAGCCAAGAAGACTAACCTGTGGTGGTTCGTAAATGGCTGATACAACTGCACGGATGCCGTTGGGAATTGTCTCGTGTTGTCTGTAGTTGCCGAACATGTACCCCATCCTCTGAAAACCTGTCTTGCGCCATGTCCTGACGAACCTCTCTACTATCAACTGGTTCTCGAACATTATATTGTCCACGTGACGATACACCTTCGAAATGAGACAAGATGGTTGATTTTTGGAATTTGCAGCTAGTTGCTTAGGGATGCCTTGTAGTGTACAGGGTGTTTATAGCTATAAAATTATCACAAATGATGAGCTAAAGTGATTTTTTTTTGTGGTGTTTCAATATTTACTTGTTTTTCGATGCGCACTTCAGCTGGATTGCACTTGTTACATTTGTTGTTGGGGTATATTTCATGCCTGGAACAACCAATCAGACTCGAGAATTTAATCGGCTCCAAGGGGTACCTGAATACACAAATGAAATTGTTTATAACGTCTGGTGTAGTTTTCAGATTGTTTTGTTGTAATGATTTAAATTTGAACCAATTTAGTAGCAATTTTGAAATGTCTGAGCGGGAATCGAAAAAAAATGCGGCCCAGAAGTTTGTTCAGCCGTTGAAAGAAAAGCGGAACTTGAAAGAGGTCAGGACCATGCGCATCAACCAAATGATGGACTCATTAGTTGAACAAACCAAAGAATACGACCAAATGGATTCGTGCACAGTGGCTAAAAAAGCGAAGAAAGACTCAGCTGAAAAGAAAGGCTTTCATAACCCAAGAAAATGTTTGGCCCCTGTTAAGTTTGGTCCTAATATTGAGAGTTTGCAGCCCAGGAAAAAGTTTGACCAGAAACAGAAAGGTGTAAGAAGGAGTCTCAAAAGCGATGGAGTTTATAAGGGACCGCCAATGGTTGCCCTGTTTCGACAAAAACATCTGGCCTATGTACATGCATATAAGAAGTTGTCGAAAAGCGAAGAGCTGAACCATTTGGTGCCGAAAAGAGTTATTAAAACTGAGAGTGATAATGAAGTTCGTGAATATTGGGTAGAGCTTAATGAGTTCAATTTGGAAAGAACGAGGGGCATGTTTAACGGCGGACCAAGTGGTGACTTTGATTTGCAACTGACAGTTAATCTGATCGAAGTGCACAATAGTTCCGAGTCAATCAGACGGGCTCATGTTGGAGACCTGAACATACCGAGCGGAACTTTCTGTTTGGCGTTCAAAAACGAAACTAGTCGTTTTCTATCGAAACCCTTCTTGCGATTTCCTTTTAATTTAAATAATGCAAAATCAGACAAACCAGGGTCCAATGTGATTTTGGATATAGTCTTTAAAGTAGTTCCAGTTGAAATCGAATTGGACGATGATGATGCAGTGATAATTGACAGGCAGCTGTTCTATTTGGCGAAAGACGGCAAACTAACGATGCCAGAAGTGAACTTCATGAAAATAGATGTGAAACGAGATGAGTCGAAAGAAAAGTTCGCATCACTCGGTTTTATTTTGGATATTTCGGACAAGAGACGGAAAGGATATTTTGATTATTGTCGACAACGAAAGTCGGTTTTAAAGATGGGTCAATTTTATGAACGCCCTGAGATCAAACATTGCTCATGGAATGATACCAGGAATAAAAGACTGAAAGCTGATGACTTTTTGACCACAGATGAAAGTGAAGATGAAGAGGAGCTGACAAAATATATTGAAAAGACTTGTTTGAAGCTCCAAAAGGCGAACACCGATACAAAAGCGGATAAAGAACCAACTAGTGAAGTAGAATTGGTGCAATGTACGCAATCGGGATCTAGACTATCTCAAGAAAGGGCGGATTTGGAAATCATTGAGCGAGATTTTCCGATAAAACAGGCAGATGAAGTTGAAATTGAATTCAACCCAAAACGTAATTTGGAATCATTAGTTGCAAAAATTAAGGAAAACCTGGAAAATCTAGAAGTAATTAGAGTAGTTGATTATGATAAGAATAATGAAAAAGTTAAACATAAGCGAAAATCGAAAGACCCTGAACCTCCTTCAATTAAAATGGATAATTCGGCAAATTCGATTGAAATTTCCGCCCAGTGCGATAATCATGATCCAAGTGAACTGGGTCATTTTGGGTTTTGCCTTGTTTGTTCACGATTCTTTGATCAGAAGAAAGATACTACCAGCTTATCCTTAAACATTTTCGAACGTATGGAAATGGATGATAACTCTAATTCAATGACTGTCGCGCTCTATGAAAACCAAGGAGATAATTCATCAAATCATTGCATCGAAAAACGAGATTCCAACATCGTTGAAGATGCGAGTTTGGTAAATGAAAAAGGAGACACTTTTACTACAACGGCAGCTGAAAAACAAAGTACGAATATCCGGAAACCTGATAATATTTTGAGGATTCACAAAAGTTTTTACCACGTGAACACTTTTCCGGTTGAGTGCAGATTTGTGACGGGTAATAAGAGTACTTTCATGCAGAGACTCGAATTCCCATTTTGCATGTTCTGCCAAGTTGCATTTGAATGCTATGAACTGCTGCTGTTGCACTTGCACTATTCACATGCAGGACTGAAAGTAGTCCATTTTTCAGTTAACTTCGGATCGGTGCTAGAGATAAGACGTGTTAAAAAGAGAAAACATTTGAGAGAAAGAAGTTGCGAAAAAAGGAAGAAGATTAAATCTATTGAAGGAATTTATGATAAAAATGAGGAATCTGAAAAAAGCAACAAAATGAAGCCATCTATTGAGGCAAAAGTAGAAATTGCGGAGTTGGCCGAAATCACTGATAATGAAATTGACAACAAAAAAGACGATCCCCGAATCACTGTTTTCATGTTTAAAGCTAACAAGAATTTCACTATTGACAAAGAGCTGCTTTTCAAACAGAAACAGACAACTGCTGGAAACTCATCGGAACCAGAAAGGATATCGACCAAATCAGAGTCGATGTTACGCATGAACGCACTGGGTGTAATGGCGCTAAATCACGTGACGGCTATGAGTGACAAGAGGTCAGAAAGAAGGTACCAGAAACTGTTGGCGGGGTCAATGACCCCGATTGGATTCTACCACTCGAGTAATTTGAACAGACGACAGTTCACGACTCAGGGTTATTGTTCAGATAGGGACGAGGATGAGCACGTGTGGCTGGATAAGGCAGAACAAAGGTGAGACTCTCGCTGTCTTAACTAATTGTGAACATTGTTGACTGACTAAAAGTCTACGAACCATGTTTGAAACTTGATCGTTAAAACTGATACCTAGGACTTTGTGTTTGAAGCTACAGTCGCCATTGCAAAAAAAAAACATTTTTGCCGGGTCTTTGAAACCTGTCAAAATGAGAAGTTGTTGTTTATTTTCTGTAAGATTTGCTTTTAGGGTCATGGATGAATATGTAGACCTGACTGAGAAGGAAAAGCGCTTCATGATGCTGTGGAATGCATTCTACCGCAATGTGAAACTAGGACCAGGGGATACTCTAATCCCACCAGTGCTGGAGGCTTTTCTGGAAACGCACGGCAGTCTGCTAAAGAAAGAGGGATTGTTGCCGATGATGAATCAACACCTGGAAATGATGAGGACTTACGGAGTCATCAGCGATAGTTTGAGTCGTAGGCTGCTTGCCCAAGTTGAACTGATGCATCAATAATTGATATTTGATCAAAACTTGGCTTTTTGTAGTTTCCTGAAAATTTTGAAAGTGATGTGTAATCTAATCTAGCTATTGTTTTTTGTTCTGCAATGCAAACTAATTGATTATTTCGAAATTTGAATTTTGTTTCTCGTTGCTGAATTCAATTTTATTCAAACATTTTTTTAGCCTGTGATAAATCTTCGGAGCTATAGACACTTGGCTTATTTTTACCATTTGATGAAAAGACGCATCGTTACGTACACTTAGCAAGGTATCAGTTTCTACGACGTTGGTTCCATGGTATCAGTATCTACAATTGTGATCGTTGGCGCGGGCAGATCCCACTTATCCTCGATCTTCACAACTATCACCTCTTACAGAAATAGAGGCTCCATGGTTTGGCGTATGAAGTAATCTCAAAATTGTCGACCAAAAACAGTGTTCATTAGTCAACAAAAACTACGCTCAAAATTAATCGGCTTGGGGATAAAACTGACTATTTTAAGACAGCATCGATTGATACTCTGCTTTTTGCAGAAATGAAATCATCAAGAGGGTCTGACTATGTCTAAAGTAATTGTTGCACTCACGGACTGTTCGGGTCTTGGAGACAAATGAACTGCAAGTAGTCATTAAATGGCATGAAGTTTCGGTCTGTCACAGTGCTGAAAACAAGGTTATTTTTAACTCGTAATTAGTCAACAGTACAGCAAAAATAAATCCAATTCGTGTTCCAATTACTCTCAAAAACGTGTGACGGCGTAGAGTGGGCATTTATATAAAAGCACCCGATAAGGATTCAATGAAAATGTTATGAAAGATGTGCTGTCGAGAAAATCTAGTTAGCATTTTTCGTGTCATGGAGTAATGAACGTAGTGATTTTTTTTTCAGGAAAAAGCCTTAAAATTTGTTTACGCTCAACTGCGATTTCTTCATTTCCTTTGTTAAAAGGAAGGCAAAATCAATCAAACGAAGAATGTGCAAGTTTCACAACAAAACATGGAACTACTTAAAGTTTCGATGGCCGATTTTATCAGATTCTTTTTGTAATCAATTTTTTATAATAAAAGACGGGAAAACTACGCTTTCGAATAACAAAAATCCAAATGATGCAATAAAATTTTAACGATTTTTATTTACAAAGTTGTATTTAATTTTCAGAAATAGTAGCTGTCTCCATTTACTTTGTTAAAAGGAAGGCAAAATCAATCGAACAAAGAGTGTGTAAGTTTCACGACAAAAAATGGAACTAATTTTAGTTTCGATAATCGATTGAGTTCGCCTATTGAACTGATGTTTTCTCGAAGCGGGTTCCGTTTTATCAAAAATCTTCAAAAGGTTTTGAATTGTGTGTGAGGTCAAAACTCTTAAAATAAAATTGAAAAGAACAATCAGTTATTTGGTCTCATTGAGTTCATTGACACCTGTTCTCATTTTTGAAAGACAATTTATTCAAGTCGTGCTTCTTTCAAAAGTGTCTCCAAAGGTGTTTGCACTCAAATTGTTCTTTTCAAGTCATTTTTAGTCATGACTTTGAGACATTTTTGTTCCGACCATTGAAAGTGGGAAGGAACATTGTATTCGGTTGTTTCAGTTTTTTCTTTTTGTTTTCCACGCAAAACAAGGAACTACAAATAATCATCGGACTGGTTTGAGTGATATATCGTTTTAAAGCCCTTTCAGTCGTTCTAGTGTCAAGAAAAACCAGTTTGAAATTTTTGATTTGTCTAATTTTGCGAATAAAGCGAGCGATCAGGCATACAACAGCTTAATAAGGAGAAATTTATGCCCTAAAACTTAACTTTAAGCAATTAAATTTAAATTCTGGAGTTTTTGTTCCATTCTCAGAGCCAAAAAAAATTCTTAAAAATTGTAAAATTTTCTGTAAAAAAAAATTGAAATGTTATGAATTTTTTATTTTTGTTTTTCTAGTCAGTTTTCTGAAAAAGATTGAGTTTAGTTTGCTCGTTTTATCATGAATGTCAAACATGCCTAAAATATAGTTTTACATCAGACTTTTTTAAAATCCCTACGCAGAAGAACTAATTAGACAAAAAAGCTTCCTCTTGTAGTTTTTTAAAGACTCTAGTCCGAACATTATGTGCTACTAGCACAGTAACCGGCAACACATATTTAAAGTGTCGTCTGATGGCTCTGCCTAAATTATCAAAAGCGAGTGATAAAATTTTCAGTACAGTGTTTTTTGCTACAAACAAATTTTTTCTCAACTGCTTTCTTGATTCAAATTACACTGTCTTAGTTTTGCATTTTTCTCTGCTTCTTGTTTGAGATTCATTTTTCTTCATTAATTTTATACAAAACAATTGAATGCGCAATTACTTAATTCATGTGGTTTAATTTTTGTTCTATTTCATTTAGGAAATTAAAGGAAAACAAGCTCCCTCATAATAAATATCTGCAAATGGCGCAAACCCTTTTGAACAGAACTTTTTTTCTCTCTTAGCTGAAAAAATTCAGCAAAAAAGCGCAATATTAAAAGCATTTGAATTTCAAAGATATTTGTAGCATTCAATTTTTCGTCGATAAAAAAGTCAGTTTTTGTTTGTTCAAATTCATTAACAGTGTTCCAACTGTCCACTGCCGTTTTACTTAGGTTTTTGCTTTTTGTCTTAGAACTATTACGATATTCAACTTCGTATCTCGAGTGTTTTTGAAAGTATCGTTTTTGGCTGAAGTGGTTTAATCCCAATTTCTTTACGCTCTCAAGAAGCACGGGCATTGCAATCAGTTAATAGCTTTTTTCCCTTAAAACATTTTATTCACAGGATTATCTCCAATTTCAAGACCTCCATTTCCCATTTTCTGCATTTTTAACACCTCGAGCTACTGTATCTAGAGTTAATGCGTTACTGTGTCTAGACTTATTGGGTTACTGGATTTACTGATAAAAAAAGGTTTCAGGCCAAAAGATTGTTTTGTTTTGTAGGCCTAATTGGTTTCAGCCCAATTTTGATCGGCTTACTCGCCAGCTGTTTTTTAGAAAAATATTTTCAACCAATTTTTTTAATTTCAATTCTAAAAACCTTACACAGGGTTTTTTTTACAGAAAACGCGCTGAAAGTTTCAGTTTGAAATGAAAAAACTTTGGAGCGGTTTTTGTTTAATTTTTTTTCATTACATTTTAATTTTTTTCGAATGCATGGCTTTTGATTTTTGTTTTGATCATGCGTGCAGTAAGTTTGATTTGAAAAGTTTATTTTGAGTTTTTTCATTTGAAATTTGTCCATGTTGATGGCATAGCGTATTGTTCAAATGTCTAAAAACTTCTTATACTAGTCTAAAACAAAGTTTCTCTTTTAAATTTCCCAAAATTTTATTTTTATTTTTTGATTTGATTGTCTTGTTTACGAAAGTATTTGGCAGTCATTGCACGATTTCTAAGAAAGTAGTTCTTTCTTTATTTGTGTTTAACTGAGTCTTTATTTTTATTTGTGATTTTTGTGGTTGTGGTTCAGCTACTTTACCATTGCGTAGCTTCTTATTTGACAAGATTGCTGTTATTGGTTTAATTTAACAGGCTTTTAGTGTTTTCTATATCTTTTGCATATTCCTTTTGTAGTTTTTTTTGAACTTTTTGTATTCAGACAATTTGAAGTTTCAGTGCTCAATTTTGTTTGTTCATTTTGATCTTTGTTTTTCATTAGATTATCGAAATTTTCGATACATCCGGATGATCTTAATGAACATGCAGTTTGTTTGGTTTCAAGATTTTCAGCGAAACTTATTGGTGAATTCCGGATTTTTTGGATCATAATTTTTGAACCGAAATTTCTCTTTTTTGTATTATTTTTTCAAATTAAAGTTTTCAGAAAAAACGAATAGAGTTTGTGTAGCTTGAATGCTTTAGTGTTTTTGCAATTGAATTGTACAGGAAATGTAAAAAAAGTTTTGTGTTTCAATCAACAATTTCCAAACAATTAACTTGTTTTATATTTTGTACGAGACTGATGATTGTCTTTCGAACTTCGGAATGTAGTTTGGTATCACTAGTGGCGCAAAGCTCTGCTTCGCCTCTGTGTGTTAATTTTTCTAAGCATTTTTTTCTTCATTTTGATAGTTTCCACGGCAATAGGTTCGTTGATTTTGAATTAATTGTCTTTTGTCTCCTGGATATTCAGCCTAGTTACCACCAGTTTTTTGCGCCTGATAAAGTAAAAGTTTTTTTTTGCCTTTTTTTCAGATGTTAAAGTCTGTTCGTTCGAATTAGTTAGTTTTAAAGTTATGAAACTAATTGTTAAAAGAACTCATTGTTGATCATTACTCATGCAATTAGCAAATAAAATGAAATCGGAACCGGTTTTTGTCAGGTAAAATTTTGATCAACAGAATCGATGAATCATTTGTGCTGATACGCTAATTTTCTGGAAAATGCAAGTACACCTACTAATTGCTGTTAATGGTATTTAATAGTTTTTTTGACAGCGGACTCTTGTTCTATATTGATTGTAAATGAAACAACTCGTGTATATGTTCTTTATAATTTAAGAAAAAAATTGTTTGTCTCGATTTGAAAAGTTTCAGTTTTAAGTACATCGCCTTAGTCGCCTCAAATTGCATTTTTTGACATCAAGTTAATGTTCTTGGCGCGTCTGGTTTAGGAATTTACAAAGTTTGAGCTATGAATTATTTTGCACATCGATATTTGTAAGTCCCCCAACCCAGACCCGCCAAGAAACAGTAAGACCTGTCAAAAATGCGATTTGAGGCGACTAAGGCGATGTAATTTAAGCTGGAAACTTTCAAACCAAGACAAGAAAAAAAATTGAAGCCATACAGAATATATACAAGAATTGGTTAATTTACAATCAATATAGAATCCGCTGTCAAAAAAGCAGTAAATACCAGTAATAGCAATCATTAGCTGTACTTGTGGAATCAAATAATGTCTGCAATAAAAACTGAGCTATGAAGCATTTTGCATTCAAATTTTTGAATGCAGACATTTTGTTGGCTCAACAAGCGTCGAACTAACTAATTCTGCTTTGATTAAGGCTGTGTAAATTTTGTTTTCCATGTAATCTTTGCACTGGTAAATATCTTCCTTGGGAAGTTACCTCTATTTGATTTTCCTTCAAGGCAAATGGAGGCAAATTTTTTGGTAGATCTAATTTTTTGAAAAAAAAAGAACATTTTTAGTCGTTTTTTATACATGCGTTCAAGTATCGTTTCAATTATGTCTAAATAAGAAACAAATGATCTGTTTTTCTCGACAACAAATTAGTTAATTCTACTTACTCGTGGGTGAGGTCAGGTGCCTCCACTCCCAAATCTTCCTCCTCGATGATCACCCTTTGCGGCTGCTTCATTGGATTGCCATTCGGGAAGCTGAATTGAGACCCTAAATTGGGGAAGCTCAATTAAGTTTCAGTTTTGCGGTTTATCAGTTTTTTAATGAAATGAATAGAAACAGTTTGATGAAGAATATACAGTTGAGTCATTTAAGGTCATTTCTGAACCGTTGAAAAAATTTTAAATTTATTTTGCAATATATTTCTTCAGACCAATTAGAGTTCAATTTGAGTCTCAAATTTAACCAATGTTTGTAATTTGAAAATTAAAAGTGAAATTGAGATAGAGCTTAAATTACATTCGAGCAATTTTGTGAAATTATTTATATTCTATTAGACACTGAAGGATTTCAAATAAATAGATTTCAGCTCCTTCGATCAAAATTTACTCATTTCTGTGGCTTTTCCGAAGCGAACGTGGCCTCGTGAGTCTGAAAAAAAGTGCTGTACTAGATTGCGATTTATTCCGACCAATCAAGAGTGGGGAGGAACTAAGGCTTAGGCCAAGCTTTTTCTGTATATATTTAGTAACCTCCAAAAGAGGAAAACAGGTAAATTGCTATTCAGACTAATTTACCGCTAGGGGAGGGGTTCTGAAGTGAAGAAATGTATGCTTTCACAGGTATTCACACATTTCGCCCCTCACACGTTTCGCCCCTCTTAAATCTAGTGGCACATTTCACCCCTCACGCATTTCGCCCCTCACGCATTTCGCCCCTCTCACATTTCGCCCCTCACACATTTCGCCCCTCACACATTTCGCCCCTCACACATTTCACCCCTCACACATTTCGCCTCTCATAAATTACTGGCCTATTTCGCCCCTAAAATGTACATTAAGAAAGCGGCTTTAATGAACTGTGCAATAAGTTAGGGGCGAAACGTGAGAGGACGAAATAAGTGAAATTATTAGGGGCGAAATGTGTGAGGGGCAAAATGTGCCACTAGATTTAAGAGGGGCGAAATGTGTGTGTGGGGGAAACGTGGGACATTCGCTTTCACAGCAGTTTTGAATTCATTTTGCGGTTTTGGAAAACAGATTTTTAAAGTTTATTTGATTTTTTTTTTTCAGTTCTCAGTTACTGTCGAATTGCTGTTTTGAAATTTTTAAATATATAGAAATTTTTACAACTACAATGAAAGTTTTTTTTCAAATCTAAATTACTTTCGAATCGCAGTTGTAATCTTAGCTAAAATTGTTTATATCCTTTTTTGCATCTCTCGAAAAACCTCGTGTTCCGACCACCGAAACACATCTTTTTGTTCCGACCGAACGTTCATCTTTTTGTTCCGAGCACTTGTGTTCGGGTTTTGTTTATATAAACTTTTTTCCACGAAAAGTCATCGCAATGAGACAGGTGATATAACATAATAGAACAACGTATTTCGTCATATCATTTGAACGATGTTTAAAAACGTCGACAAAGTTTTCTCAGCGAGAAGAAGCACCGGTTAACAAATTTTCAATTTAAATCAATTTAGAGCGATTAGCAGTAAAAACACGAAAACTATTGATAAAACTATGAAAACTAAGTTTTTGCCTAAAGAATCTAGTTTGTAAATCTTCACTTAACGCTTCCTCTTTGCGTTAAAAATTCAAAAGTTTCGAAAAAAGGACAAAATATTTGAAACTTTTCGTTTGCTTTGTTTTTCGTCTTGTATGTACCAGACAAAAAATGTACCAGAAAAGGTCATTGTTCCCACTCAAGTGTGAAAAAAATTGTAAAGCTAGTACAGAACAAGCAAAAATACTTGCATTAAACCACAAAGACTCTAACCAATCGCATACCAAGAACAATCCGACGGGTTTGGCTTGGGTTCGTTTCTCACCCTAGGTCATATCATTTACGAATCATACAAGAACCAAACATAATAGAACAAAACTAACCGCTCCGTAAACAGGTTCGATCCCCCAGAAAACGTTTTTGCTTTGCGCAGAAATTTACTTCAGTTCATAAAACGACCTTGACTGAGAGATTTTGTCTGCTAGAAGCAGTTTTTGCTTGTTGTTTTGTTACAGAAATTGATTTTGTTATGCAGAAGTTGTAACTTTACAATTTTTTGAGAAAAAAATGTTAAACCGATTGAACTGTTGATCAAATTTATAATTGAGTTGTTCAGTCAGAATTTTCTGAATTAGCCCAGCAGCAGAGCACTGTCATTGCTACATACTACCGCACACTATACACAACAAAAAACGACAGAAACTTTCAAATTTGACGTTGAAAATAATTTGTTTTTCAATAATATTTTGTGAGTTAACTGGTCAGAACTCTGTACAGCAGCCGGCTACTGTTGGTTTTTCGAATCTGATAGATTGATTTTGGAACACAAATGAACATAACGGGAAACGTTTTTTCTGCATTGTTTGAACAGTAGTAGCTATAGCTTTTTAATTAAAATTTATTTTTTGCTGCCTGGAGTATATTAGTCAAGCATACTTGAAAGTGTTAATATATACGACTTAATGGTATGGTTAGTGGTAAGTATTCTTTTATCAAGGCGTAGACCTGCGATAGATCACCCAGTATCCAAAGTTCTTTCATTTTCAAGATAAAGTTGTTTATTTTTTTGCCGTTTTTTGCTTGTGTCCGCGAAGTGAAGCTTCACCAGGGTCTCGTAATATAAGCATTTTTGCGCATGTAATTTTGATATCACTGAGTTTAAATTCAAGTAGATCTGAAACACCCTATAAAAACACACTCTTTGCTTGAATTATTCATTGAATTCAAAAAAGTGGAAATTTTCATCGAGATTTTTATTTAATTTAAGATTTTGTGATATTCGGCGCGCACTCTTCCTCAATCTGAAATGATGGAGTAAATTTAAAAAGCTGGGAACAGAAATCTGATTTGTATTGGAAGTTAGAGTACACCATCCAGAGAGCATCCCCATGAAGCGTATTTGTTGTTATTGTTGCTGTTGTTTTGGTTATTTGTATGGCTCACCTGGTGTCTGTGGAGACTTGATGTCTCCCACAGTGGTGTCTGTCTCTGTCTCGTCCTCGTACTGGTCCTCCTCCCACTCGTCCCCCAAGTCCTCATCCACCGGGAACAAGAACAACATGTCACCCCCTCTGAAACAGCACAGATCAATTGAGCAATGCCCACCATAACTCCCTTCCCATAAACTTTCAAGTAGCCTTTTTTAAATGATTGCCTCTGCCACTCCCTATGAGCTCATTTAAAAGCCAAAGTTTCAGTCGAAAACGTATACTTCTCAGCATGAAAACTGTCAAAAATAGATTAATTTTCAGCTAACATTGTAATTTTTCTCGCGAAATTTGACAAGGCGCTAGTAAATTATTACTTTCTGGAATTCAAATTTTTCAATCTTTTTAGTTTGAATTTAAGTCGTTTTCTGCCCAGCAACTTCGAGGAAATTGTTAGCCTAAATTTGGTTGCCTTTTCCGGTAAACTCCGCCGATTGCATTTCCGCAATGTCACCATTTTGGTTGCCCTAGTCATTGAATAAAGGGTTGAAGGTATGTTATAGCTTTGGTACTCTAGTTGTATATAAAACAGTAATTTTAAGGTATTAGTTGTTCTTAGCAAATCGGAATGTTTTCGGTTATAGCCCTTTTAATGGATACATTTGCACTTAGCGTATTCGTGAATTGAATTCCCTTACATGGCAATGATAGCGTGTGAGGACGAGCTCTCACTTGACCTCTAGTTTCAGGTCTACCAAGTCTAGTAGTGTGGTACCAAGTTCTGGACGCAAAAAAAAATCAGCCTTGATTCGCAAAAAAGAGCTTCGGTCACAAAATAAATCAGTGTGGAATGTGGGGAAAAAGTAAAAATTAACTATCCTCCAAAAGGCCTGTTAAAGCCTTCTCCTCTGCAATTTGCAGGAACTACAATTATAAATGTTATATTTGCAGCTTAGTTTTTGAAAGCGTGAGAGGATGGAAATGGTTCATTGAAAAAGAACGGCAATCAAACGCCATGCCAGTTTTGACCCTTTCCCTTTTATTTGGGCCTTAATTAAATTTCAGTCGTGAAAACTGAACTGGGCCAATGACCAGTTTACAAATGAAGTTTATTTGTCTACTGTTTGTTTTTATTGCATGCCGCCAGAGCTATAAATTTCATATTATGAAAACAAAAGTCTGCCGGTTGCTGTGCTTCCGACCACAATTTTTTTTTACACAAGAAAAAACTTTTCTTATTTTTTTTCTCAATTTGAATCATATGTTTTGTGCGTGGTTTGAACAGATAAATTCCAAGTTTCCCAGAAATTTCCTGAGCAACTTTTAACAGACTACAATCATCTTTGCTAAATTATTTATAAATATGAAAACTCGCACGCTCTAAACGCTCCATATTAGACAAAAAATCGATTACAACTGAAGTAATAACAAAAGCAAAAAAGTAATAACAACTAAAACAAACCCGAAATCAAAGTTTCTGCCCACTTTCAGTGGTCGGAACAATAACTATCGAGAGATCCAGACTTCGGCTCTGCAACTTACTTGATTTTATATGTTGCGAGGGTCTTCCCCCCTGACGGCTTAATAAGAATAGTCTTGTTCCGCCCTCTGTACACTCCGTACTCCTTCGGATTATGAAGGTGGAAGGCGTGAATGACCTTCTTGTAGAATTTGCCAGTGCTCATCTGCTCCTGGACTTCGATCCGGCGAGTGGTTCCGTCATCCTGTTTCTGGATGCGGACCATCTGAAATTGAGAGTCACTTTTGGAACCAAAGGCAAGACTGGACCCTATTAAAAAGCTAGTAAAAGCGGTCATAACACTAGTTGAATAGTTAACAAAATTTGTAAGACAGTTTGAAAAGTTAATCGTGAAAACTCGAATAAGTTAAAAAATGAGAAATCTACGCTTGAAGCTGATGAGTTTAATCATTGGTGATATACAATGACAAATACACCAAGTATAGAACAAAAAAAATTGAAAAGCGAGACGTAAGAAGCACTTACGTACATAAGAACGAATGGTAAATACAGAAAAAAGCCTTGTGAAAACATTTGTTTACTCTTAATTTCGCTCGGCCAAAACGATTAATTATCAGTCACTGAATAATTAGAGCAGACCATATAATTCAATTTGTAATAAAAACAATTTAAATTTGAACAGTACTGATGCTGAATGTTAAAAAAAGATCTGGCGATAATTTGAGACGGCTATCGTTTGAAGTTCCAGGTTCCAGTTAATGTTTAATGTGATAGGCCAGCAAATCAATCGGCTTACAGCTCTTCGACCCTCTTTTCCATGATTCGACCCGCCAGAAGATGATGATGCGGAAACTGACTGACGCCGATTACCCCCACTTTTCGTTCGGCTGTCGTGCGACTGTTCGTCGCCACCACCTCCCGAAGACGACGACTTGCTATTCATCTATTGTTTTTTTTACTCAATAATATTTTAGTACAAGTTATGCTAACAGTGGCGTGCATTTTTTGTCTAAATGTTAAAGAGTAAACACAACTTTTTTTCAAAAAGTTTACCGGAGTCAAACAAAGGTTTACTAACTATAATCAGATTGGCAGAGCCAGTAAAATTTGAATTCTAATAAGCTGACAAAAAAATGGTAGGCAATTTTTTCAAACCCTTCCCACCGTTAAAGCTTCTTGCGCACGCTACTGTATACTAAGGCGTCAAAGGGATCTCTAACAATGATATATACTACATAAGGAAGGCTTTTTGTTGACAGTGTTGGTTTGAATTGAATTCTTTTGTATCGAATAATTTACAGCTCAGAGCGACGAAAATCCACTGGGTGGTGGCAGTAATATAGTAATATCAGTTGATCCAGAGGTTTTATGAATTTAAATTTTCATAAGCTTCTTGGATTTATCTCAAGGTGGAAATTGTGTCTTAAGCGCAATCTCCAAATATCGACTCAATCATGCTAGTTTGCGTCTGGGTAAACGTTCCAGGATTAGTTTCTCCCGTTACTCACAGGAAAAGAAACAGTTAACATGTAGGATCTGAGATAAGTTCCACCTGTGGTCTGGAGCCTTCAACTGTTTCGCAATATTGGCCAAGGTTGACAAGCACAAAAGGAAACCAAGCTTGAAGAAGAAGAGATAGATAATGAATTTCGGATTTTACCAGCACATTATATCTTAGTTGCTGTTAAATAATGATCGATCGCATAAATTTTACTTTTAAATTGACAATGAGGACAAACAGATGCTCTGCAAAGTTTGAAAACTCAAAAATGTTGTCTCCTTGGATCAAACAAGCATAGCTGATTGCTGTGCAAGAAGTGCAAATAATTAATACCACAGTATTTGAAGCTAAAAACTTGATAACAAGTGTGGCTAAAATATTTCTCTTCAATTTTTTTATGTTAAATTTCTGCAGTTTTTTTATTCCTGGGATGGTTGAAGTTCAACCTTAAGCACCGAATAAATTTTGTTAGTTTCAAAAAATCAATTTGAAAAACAAAAAAAGGTCAGCCCTGAAAAAAATTCACATCAGCTTTTCAGTGAACTTTGCTGACAACATTGAGTCAACTTTGCAAAAATTTATGAATAAAAATTACAGTGGCGGATCTAGGATTTTCTCGGGGGGGGGGGGGGGGGGGAATTTTCAAACTTTTTGTCGGCATTTTTTTTTAGGTCGACCAAAATTATTTTCCGAGCTCTCCCAAAGCACTAAAAAAACTCTGTTTTGAGCAAAATTTCTGCGCCGCAGGCAAAATTTGAAAAAAGTTCAAAAATAGCGTTTTTAAGCACTTTTTGGAAAATTTCGACCAAAAAACCGTGTTTTTTTGGCGCGCGATCCTCCATAAAAAAAGTAAGGCGCCTTTAGTAAAGTTTTAGGGTCCGTCAGCCAAAAATGGATATCTCAAAATAGTGGGTCGGCAGAAGGTCCCTTTGGGTCGGCAGAAGGTCCCTTTGGGTCGGCAGAAGGTCGAATCCCCCTCACACCTAAATCCGCCCCTGAAAAAACATATATTTTATCCTCAGACTCAATATCAAATAAGTTGCGTCTAACGGAGCATTAGTGGGATCAATTAGCTTGAATCAGTTGACTTTAGAACGAATGTTTGGACTAGCTCTTAAATGGGCACGAAATATTTGTTGAAATTGAAAATGTTTCGAAAAAAAAATGCATTTTGCACAACCAAAATCATACATCAAATGTGGAACTTTGACTAGTACGAAACTGATACAGCCGATTAGCTTGCTTCAATTCAATTTGGAACAGTTTTGTAATGAGGGATATTTTGTCGTGCATGAACAAATCGCCTTACACGTTTGTCATGATAAACAAAATCTTAAAAGCGTACATTAGCCCAGAGCATTGTCAAATTGACAATGTTCAAATCCCCAGAAGTTTACAAAAATTAATCGAAAGTAAAATATCTTCTTACATATGAATTCGATATAAGAACTATTATTTCGATCGCCAAATGTGACCGAAAAAACTCACCATACATATATTTTCAGCATTTTTTTTGAAAGCCGAAATAATAGAGTTGCGCAATAAATTAATCCCAAGCAGTCATTTTTACACGCGAGTAAGTGTATCTTCACAAGCGATGATTTAAAACAAATTTGTTGGAATTTACACTCATGTAATTGATATTTTCAAGGCTGAAAATTCAATTGTGGCTGTTATTTTGGTTGTCAAAAAAGGGGAAAATCTTTTCATACCTAAGCACTCTATTTTTTCTTTTGAAGCCGGAGCTATAAAAATAGCCGGTTGATATGCATTTAGAAAATAATATTCAGACCAGTTTTTTTCTGATATTTTTTTCCGGATTTGCTTGCAACTATGTTGCAAAATTCAACATTTCAAAAAGTGTACCGAGAAGCTTGTAAATTCTTCTAGCCTATTGACAAGTTTGTAAACTAATTTTATATATTGAGAACTAATTTTTTTTTCAATTCTAATTATCTCATTAAAAAATTCGAAGTAACTTTCTTTAGAATTATGACAATTGTCCATGCTTAATGGTTCTTATGAAATTTTCAAAAACTTAGTAAAATTTGATAAAACAGAGAAACTAAGATTATCATAGGTAGTTTTCGAGAAATAATTACTACCTTAACTTTCAAAGCTTTCGAAAAACACTATGAAGATTCTACTTTGTTAAAAAAATTTTACCGAAAGTTTTAACCGAAAAATGACATATTTTTGGTGCTCACTCCTCCCTTGAACTTAGTGTATATTAAGCCAAAGGCGCCTTCAGAAAAATTTTAGTGTTAGTTTACCAAAAATGGACGTCTTAAAGCAGTATTAAAGCAAAATTTTTTGTGTTTTGAGGGGATCAAAACCCTGAGAAAAGAAGTGTCTTCCCCTAAATCTCCTAGGTTAGAATTTTTCACCAAGAGAACAAAAATTTGTCTTTTTCGTGGGAAACCAGTAAGAAAAAACGATGCGAATGTAAACTTCAAGACAAACGCTTTTGTAAGCTAAAAACTTAAACCTCAATGACCTTATATACTAGTCTCTTTGCACCTGAAATGATAATATTTTCGCAAGCCCCTAAATTGCTAACCAAATAACACCAAACGAAAACAAGAAACCGTTTTTCCAATATTTTCTTGTTTTTTGATTATTCAGGTCATCTTGTGAGTTTTATTTACGGAAAAACATCTGAATCCTAAAATTCTCCCCACTTTGGTCAACATAAAAGGTAACACTTCAAGATTTTCCTCTTTAGCCTAATTCTGCTTCTCACGGACAAAACTCATTTTCAACAGAAAATATAAGTTCGCTCGAACATTTGCTTGATATGTTTGCCTGCTTTTTTGAGTGTTTGTCGTTATATTTCTGTGCTGAAATTTGTTTCAAGAGTACTGAACATCTGTGCATAGCGAATAACACTATCCATGCAATTTTGAGCTCATTTTGGTTTGATTCATTAAAAATTAATACTTCAATCAGTTTCTCCGCAACATTTTCCCAAATTTCATTTCCCAATTTTTCTATTTCAAAATTTATTCAACTTCGCTCTGATGTCCAGTTCGAAATAATGGTTGCTTCAAAATACACGTTATTACTTTTATCAGGTAAGGAAAGTTCTTAACTTCTCTGCAAAAAATCTCTCCGAATAGAACAACTCATAAACATTCATTGTTTCAGTTACCTACCTGCTGATCGAGATTGGACACTCGCAAACGTAAGCTCATGGAAACAAATTTCACGCGAATCAAAGTTTGAGCACTCTTACACGGGTTGATTAAAAATGCTTGCCATTACACTTGCGAGAGCAAGCGTCTTCTAATTGGGAAGTAGATTTTCTTCGAAAACAACTTTTGTTAAAAATGAGTGAGAAGCTGAAGTTGTCTTATTTTTGAACATGCAATTTCCAGGCTTCTTTTCACGTAGTCTAGAGGCAAGATGGGGGTTCGGACCTTGTTTTTCTCAATATGTATAAAACTGCAGTGTTTGAACGAGAAAAATCAAACTATAGTTTTTTAGTAAATCTGCATATATTTTGTTGGCTTAATTTTCAAGCATGGATTGTTTTTTGATTCGAACAATTTTTATTATGATTGAGAGTCGCCTTTTTGTTTCATCCCCGTTTTACCCCTGCGATAAGAAAAAGTATTGCAATCGGGTACTAGATTTTTTCCCGTAAACTCAGCTCCTGCAATTTTTTTTTGGCTTAATGACCTCCTATTGCGTCGTTCAAGGGCCGAATGAAAGTTTTTGTGTGCGTGTGTGTGTTTTCTGAGGTAGTAAACTAGTAACAATTTCAAGATAAGCAAAAACTTTTTGAATTAAATTTTTTTAAGCATGAAATTTTTCTGCTCACTATTTTTGACTTGATTGGCGCTTGGTTATCATAAAATCAGTTTCAATCAAGCAATTGGCGCATCTTGCGTAGAAATAAGACAACAGCTTCCGACTTCGAAAATTTCGAGAGCTGTTTTTTTGTAAGCTAGAGTTTGTGCTTTTCTTCCAAGTTGCTTTAATACCCATGAGACGACAAAACTGGAAAGTTCCATTTGGCTAATTTAGATTATTGGGATGAGATGTCCCGTTTTGAGTCAGCGTAGATTTTTCATGAATGGAAAAATTGCTCAACATACATTTTCAAAAAATTTTATGAGCCAAAAAGAGCATTTTTGTATCAATATAATTGTATGACATTGTATGACTATTGTTTTTTTCATAAATGAAATTGTATATCTAGAAAATTGGAGTATATAAAAAGTTCATTCATGATTTTTGTTACTTTCTTTGTTTGATCTAAAATACAAAAATCAGAAATTTCTCAAACTTGAGTAAAAACCCGTAGGTTTATGTACATTAATCTCATATATAAATTGCATCTGGAGATTCACATTATTAAGTTAATGTGCAATTCTCATAGTAAATTAGTCAAATTTAACCGTTTGTTTTTGACTATAAGATTTAAACTTTGAAATCTTTAGTGGTTAAGTATCGCCAATTTTTGAAAAATTTCTAACGGTTATATAAATATATATATATATATATATATATATATATATATATATATATAAACGGTATTGGCTGCAACAAAAATCGTTTACTACAATCTATATTTTTTTGCTTGAAAGGTTCACGCCTAGATTACGTTATAAACAAGATATCATAATTTTGCTGGCAGCTTGTTGTTCGGATCATTGAAAGGGGGGGATTGGTATTTGAGAGTGTGTTTTGAATTCGAGCAACAATTAAAAAAAGTTTAAAAATCGTGACAGTGTCGAGGATAATTGGGTTAAAATTTTGATTAAAATGTATAAATCAGGCAAAATGTACCACAAAAAGTGACAAAACTTAAAATAGACAAAGTTTGTTTTTGTCAACTCGCAATTACCATAAAAAAGAAGATTTTAATCACTGCTAATTTTTGAGAAGCTAAATAGAAAAAATAAAAACTAATGATTTTTTCAATTTTTCATAGGCTTGTCGGTATTTTTTACGTTCGCCTGGGTGTGTACTGATATTTTTCTTCTTTCTGATCCAATTGACCATGATTTTTTTTTATAAAAAAAAGAAACAAATCTTTTTGATTTAAAGTAAATATTTATGAAGCATGAATCTCCACTCTAAAATTGTCTTCAAATAAAAAAATTTGAAAAAAAATCGGTTTTCTTCTTATTTGAAAAAACTTTTGAAAATTTTCAAATAGCAATCAAATCAAGATTTGACTTGTTTTTTCGATTTTACGAGAAAAATTAATTTCTAAAAAAAACACTCGCGCCGAAATTGATCAATAACTACTTGGTTTGTCAGTTACTGAAAAGCTTATGAGTTTATGTGCACATATTTTTTCCTTCTAGATACAAGTGGTCGTCTCTGCACCCTATGGAGGCTCAAATGTCTTTTGCCTTTGACCCCTATGTTGAGGAAGAGTACAAGGAACCAACTGCAGAAAAGTACTTATTAGCCGAGAGTTTGATCGCCAATGAGGTCAGTAAATGTCTCAGGCTCAAATAATTCATGCTCAGTAAATAATTCTCGCTATTTTGTTTGTTTCTTTTTATGCTTGAGTAGGGAGTTTCGGGGTTTTGGAAATTAGACGAAAAGCAAATTAGACGATTAGAAAAAAAATTTAGACAATAACTTGCGTGAAATTTGTTTACAGACTTGAATTATCTTAAAGACAATTTATGCACTAACTTGCATGAAATTTGTTTACAGACTTAAATTAAATTTTGGCTGAGTAAATACTGGTTGTCCGTACCCGCAGTGACAAAAATGGATAAAAATCGATTATCTACAGAAAAATATACAGATTTTAGGCCTGTTGTAATTTTATATAGTAAAATTTCGATTATGTAGTTTTAATAATCGATTATATTGCATTTTATTTTGCAAAAACTTCACACTGTATATCTTCATTCAACAATCAGTACTAAAATTCTCTAAAACTGTTTTTTTTCTGTATCAAATTTTCTGCATACTATATACATATTGCTTACAGATTATCTAGAGTTTATCTAAAGATTATCTAGAGATTATCTACAGATTATATACATATTTTATTCAGACTATATACAAATTATCTCAACACTGTCGCCAATAAGATGATATGATTGTATTGAAATTAAATTATAATGCAGGCTTTTCATTGAATTTTTCTTTCTGATGTTTGATTTGAAAAAAAAATTTTAAATAATTTTTTTTCAGAATGGGTTGCTGCAAAAACTAATTGCTCTATGTTAAGTTTTCTGTTTGATGTTTTTATTGATTTTTTTTCTAGCAAAACTGGGCTGAGAAGGTTGATCTTTTAAGTGGCAGTTGAAGAATTTTTCCACAAATTTTTAACGCGGGAACCCTTAGATTGCAAAATATTTTCTGTAGATCTCTTAAAAATTGAAGTTTGCGGTAAATAATTTCCCTCAAGTGAGTTCAGCTCACTGTTATACTGAGGAAAAATTTCCTGATAACAAATTTTTGTTGAATTTGTGAAAAAATCATTAGTATAAATCATGAATGGACAAAACTGAAATTGTTACGACCCTTATAATTTTTAGGCAATTTAATCACTTTTATACAGATTGTTTACAGATTAAAAACAGATTATCTACAGATTATCTACAGATTATCTACAGATTATATACAGATCATCTACATGTTTCAATGTATAGAGATTATATACTGACTATATGCTTATTATCTACAGGTTATATACAGGTTTTATAGAATAGAAGAATCGATTGTTTTGGCACTAAAATCCATTTATTTTTGGAGGAAAAAAATAGATTCTATCTGTATAGAATCGATTATCGTTCGCAAAATGGTTGTAGATAAATCGATTCTATACTTAAGTTAATCTGTAGATTTTTATGTATATAATCGATTTTTGTCCATTTTTGTCACTGCGGGTAAATTCCATTTCTCTACGATCGTCTAATTTTTTGTCGTCTTATTTCCTAAATACCCCAAAAATGCCTGAGATAAACTTACAAATAGTAAGATTCGCTGAAACTTTTCTCTCAATTACACCAAATTTTTTTCAATTTATAACTACACTTCATGAGGCCAAGCTCGGTGATTTGCTTTTCAACCGTGGAATCCAGAGGTATTAAAATTGAATCTGCAAAAATTTTTCCTGCTGGAATTTGCAAAAAATAGAAAATAAAAATAAGAAAATCAAAAGTAAGACAAAATCCGGCGAAGAATGATTGAATATATGGTGCCAAACTTAAAATACTATTTTTACCGAAAAAAAAAGAAAACATTTTTTCTAGTGCAGCACTGTTCAGCTGCACAGTCCCGATCTCAAGGTCGACTGTGAGGTCACTGGATTCTGGGGCTATGAGGGGGGGCATGTATGGGCAGTATTCAATACCACTGTGGCCACTAATGACAGCAAGGCACTGCTGAGGACCATTTCTGGGTGGACTGTCAAGTATGCAGTAATGGAACAGTGTCCTTCTTTATACAGGGTCTATTTGGCTTCAGGTATTTTCATTGAAAAACAATTTTTGACCAATTTATAATAAGAAATCTATAGAACTCCTCGAATGAATCATAGTTTGTTGTTTTAGAATTCAGAAACCACCAGGAGTAAGTACTGAGCTTTCAAGACATATCTAGAAAGTGTAAACTTTATCCAATTCATATCATTGTTCGGCTTAAGAAAGTTTCAACTATAGCTTCAAAACAGAAAATTAAACGCAATAAGTTTTTGATCAAGAAATAAAAAAAGCTGATTTTGCCTTCCGTTTTCTCCTGTTGATACAATTGGAATAAATTGAAAATTATCATTAAAAACGTAGATCGAAAAAGTGGATGGGCAATGTGGCTCTGATTTGCGGACTGTCTGTACTTTTCTTCGGCTGTGCAGTGGCTCTCTACATATTCGTGTCGGCTTATTGGAACAGCTACTCCATCGCACTGGCCAAGGAGCAGGAGGAACAGAGACGCGCGCAGATGAAGGAGAGGGAGAATAAGAGAAAGAGGCGCATATTCGGGGTATTTAGCATACAGACTAAGTTAGCGTAAATTAGGAAATGGCGCCCCGGAAAATTTAGATCAAATTTTGATTTAAGCTGAGATTACACTTTTAGATATTATTGACATAAGACAGTTTTTTCGAAAAAAGAATCACGCTCAGTGTTTGACAGGATACACTCTTGGTCATAACATACAAAATCGATTAGAGATTTGAGAAGTCGACCCGATCAGCACTTTGGGGGCTGAGGAGGAGGCGGGATTGTTCAGTAGTATAGTACTACACCTTAAACAACACCGTACCACATACGCGCTGATCCATTTTGCCCGAAAATGTGCTATGATGGGCTAATACCGATTGATAAAATGAGAAAATATTGAGTTCAGCTCCAATGTAATTTTTTTCCAACTGTTTGATTGATGGACGAAAAGTCGAATACAGCTTGAATAGCGGTTTTTTTTATTCAGCAACAGTCTGATTGATGCAAAAAAAATAACTATATTTGCATGACAGGATAAGGCTACTTCGTCGGAAGGGACATATACCAAACACGTGAACGAGAAAGAAAAACAGCCTCAAAAACAAATGGGCTATGGCAACGAAGCATTCTTCATGTGAAAACTTTAGAGTTGACTCCAGCTTAAACGTACCAACAGGACAGTGAAACTGATACTAGTCAAAACAAAACTATACTAAAGTTTGACAATTTATTAGCCCAATACACCACTTATAGTCTGCGATTGTTAATTAAAACTTATGGAATATTTTTTCAGTTGGTTACTATCTTGAAGTTGAATTGGAAACAAAGAAACCGACCAATCATGGAAAAAGCGAGTTGTTTTCCGGCTCAAAATAATGAGCGGAACTTGACAACTTTTCAGCCCCGAGTCCATTGAAAACTCTGCTCGCTTAAAACAATATGAAATGAAGTGAGTGAAATTTTTCAATTATTTCAACTTAAAATTTTGATTGGCATTTTCGCTAAAACATGATTTCAATTTCAACAAATTTTTCTCTAATTTGTTTGCTTCCTGAAATGAGAATACTATTATAGACTGCTACATTCTGGAAAACGAAAATATCTTAAGAAATATTTTCGATTAGTTAATTAAGATTTAAATTTTTTGAGACTTTTTTTTCAGGTAAAGGTTACCTTTCTCGCCGTAAGGCTAAATCCACTTACCAAATGAATTTAAAATATGAAAATATTTTTAATTTCAAAAACTAAGAAATTTAATTCTCATCCAATATTTCAAAAATTATAACAGACACCTGTTAAAGCACCTGTAGATCCACTGATGCTCTCCTAGACTGATAAATTGATGACCAATTGATGACCCCCCCCCCCCCCCCATTCCGCATGTGATGCTGACTGAAAACTGCTATAAATTTTTTTTTGAAAATTAAATTGAAGTCCTCCTAGAAGGGCTCATTAATGCCATCTGAAAGGTTAAAGCTTCGAAGCTCAAAAGTTGACTGGCAGACGGCGCAAGTTTACCACAATGGGAGACAGTATTTATGAAGCCTCCGAGAAAAAAAAACATTTGGCAACCACATGAGAGTTACGAACAAGAGCTTTTTACCGAAAAAAAACCTAATTTTTTTTTATCATACGACATTTTTCAAGGGAAGATACATGTCTCAAGCTGCAGCAAAAACGCTCGTTAAAAAGAAGCTGAAATGGTTTGAGATGATGAAAATATGAACAACTGAATAGGAATGCAATCGAGGTTGTTTATTTTTGAAGGGATGTGTGTGAATAACACAAGCAATAGTAGAACTCGGATCGTAAGGTAAGGGATCTTTTGTCATGTAACCTAGAATTCATGCTTGACTTCTTTCGAAACTGTGATTCAATTCAAGCTAATTAAAATTACTTTCTTCGCTCACAAACAGGTTTTACTTTCCGAGGTTTTGTTTCATCAACGGGCTCAGATCAACGGGTACATTTAAAAAAATTGGTCACAAAAGTCTGGACTTAAGTCGCCGGCATTGACCCGGGTATTACCATCTGGTTTAGCTTTTAATTCTTATCAAGAATAGTATTCTGCGAGGGAAAAAGTTCCCAAAAAGGTTGTGAAAACTTTTAAAAATAACGCCAAGTGGATGAATAATTTCACAATTCAAGAAGCGAGATGCCATGAAGGGCGTACTAACATTTCCTTTTCATTGCTAAATCTTGAACGTAATAGCTATCATTAAGATTCTATATGAATGCAAATATTTTTGATTACGCGTTGTAAATGTAAAAAGTTTACTGCTTAGGGAAGAAACTGGGTTTGTGTCTCTCAAGTTTGTCGTCATAAAATAACAATCGAACTTGACATGGCGAAAATTTTCGGTCAATGGCGGCTAAAAGCAGACACTGAAGTAGGGAAAAGGAGTTCCGCGTTGATCTGCCGGTATCAATCAGTACTGATTCAGATTAAACCCAGTAATAAGTATTTTTAGTAGTGTTTCAGGACAAACGCTGTGAAACAAGGAAAAACAGTACTGATATGTTGAGTCAATGTTCTATTTGGCATTTTGAGTCAAAATATGTTAAGCTTTGGGAGATATCGCCGAAAAAAACATGGTGACAAAATTGGAATTTTTGCCATTTTGAAAGCTTTTTCAGAATCGTTTCAGAGCTCGGAAAATCAATGATCGACAAATAAAAAGCAACGAAACATTCTTGTTAAAATTTTTTTTCTCTAAATATCTATCAAGATCCGCGCCTACAAAATTGTAAGCAAATATCAAAAGAACAACTTTAATATCAAAAGAACAAATTTAAGAACTAAAAAGACAGCGAAAGCACCAAACAGTGAAATATTTGAGAAAAAAGGCTTCTTTCCCTACCCCTCTTGGCTTTTTAGTACGCTTGGACGTCTTAATCTCCCTCGACCCATCCAGTTTCTTCCGACTGCGACATGAGGCAGCCATAATAGTGGCCACATCATGTCCATATATGGACTTATCTGACTTGTCAGCGGTCATGACCCAATTAACTCAGGTTATAAGGGTCGGTCTGTGAAATGACTAATATCGTACAAACGATCTCTACAGCTATTTAAACGGCAAGTAAAGCAGATTGTTCAAATTTAAATGAGTTTTTTTACAGTTTTTGAAAGTGTCTTCAGCCAGAAAATAAAATTGAAAGATTTTGGTTTATTGACGGCTGGTTTAGCTGACGTTAATTTTCAAGTGCAACTTGATTTAAGAGATTTCTGATTACTTTTTAGCTGCAGGTGACTTGAACACCTGTGAAGAATGCAGCTTGATTGTATTTATGCAGCAATTATTCAACTCTCACCAATAATTGTTTAAACTTGAATAAACGCTCATGTTCAGATTAAAGAGTAGAGTTGGTATGAATTAAACGCATCGATTTTTTTTGCCGACAGTAACCATAATGTAAATTCTTCTGTTGTAGTAGCTTCATAAATGATTAGATTCGTGACAATACTATCGAATTGCTTTAATACTTGCAGACTATTTTAAAGCTTGAATGAACACAGAAAATTGAATCGGTTCAATGAGGCAAACTGAATCGGTATCACGTTTTCAGCGAATGCGTCCAAAATAGTTTGCGCTTAGTGGGCTGGGCGTGCAATGCTTTGTTAATTTCCATTTCGCCAGGTAAGGACCCGGCTCGAGTTCCGCTGCTTAAGATAGAACCGGGGTGACCCAATTTCAGCAATTGTAGACTTGAGTGACCAAATATCAGCAATTCGAGACCGGAGCGACCAAAAAATACCATCGGTGTGACTCATATGACAGTCGCTACTGGCGCGAGCAAAGAAAAGACATATTTACGACCAATGTTTTCTCCTGATATCAAAAAAGTTTAAAACCTGTTGATTTTCTCTTTAAATGTTTGTATTCTGTGCGAAGACACAATACACAAAATGTTCTCAAAGGAGCTACCCACACTCAGTAAAAAGAGAAAATAATCGATTATATTATAATTATAATCGTACTTTTAGCTAAACTATAAATAATTATAAGCGCCAATTTTAGATGTTTAAACGATTTATAATCCATTATAAGGATAACTTTTTTGGAGACATTTTAATAAATTATAATTGATTATCTTTTTTTTCGGAAATCTCTTATAATCTATTATAATAGATTATAATCCCTTTTTCTATCGAAATATTATCTCACGAAAAAATTAATTATAATGGATTATAATTTAGTTATTCTGCATGAAAATACAGTAAAAATTGAAATTATTGTAAGTTTAAGCTATAAGCAGGGGCGGATCTAGGAATTTCTTGGGGGATGGGGGTGGATTTTCAAAAAAAATTCCAAAATTTTGTCGACTTTTTTTAGGTTGACCAAATTGATTTTTATGAGCACTCCTAACTCCTTATAAAGACCCCATTTTGATCAAAAGTTCTGCGCCGCAGGCGAAACTATGAAAAAACAGGACAAAAAAAGCGTTCTTAGACAATTTTTGGAAAATTTTGATCTTAAAATTGCGTTTTTTGGCGCGCTCTTCCCCATCAAAATTAGTATACATTGGCGCCAAAGGCGCTTTTAGAAAGTTTTAGGCTCTGTCACCAAAATGGATATCTCAAGATAAGTCAAAGCGGAGAAATGAGCTGAACTGAAAATGAGCTAAGAAACAGTCGCGTTGTTCTTTTTACGTTTGCTGCATAAAATCTTCGTTTAAAATACGTTCGCTTTCAACAATTCAATATGGCCTTACTGCAAAAACTTTCTTTGACGGATTTGAATAATGGAGACTCTGTTAGATTACTTCTTGAGCAATTAATAAAACAGATCGATTCCCAACAGAATGAAATTATAGAATTACGGGGTGAGAATGACAGGCTTCTTTACGACAATCATGAGTTGGAAAAAAGAGTTACGAAAGTGGAAAGGTATTCCTCATTTATGTGTTTAACATTTCATGGTGTGTCGGATGGTGGTGAGTACCCTGTCCATTCAATTGTGAAGATACTAAGGTCAGTAAATATTTCAATTCAGCCCCAGGACATCGTCGCGTGTCATTATTTACCAGGTAAAGGTCGAAATCGTCCGATTATTGTCAAGTTTTTGTATAATCACCAGCGAGATGCTGTATGGAATAAGAGATTCGATTTTTGGGATGATTTAACTGGAAATAAAATTCATGTAAACGAACGATTGGCAGAAAAAGATAGGGAAATTATGAACTACTGCAGACGGGACAAAAATCTACTAGCATCTACTCATAAGAATCAAGTCCAGATTAAAAAGTACAATTCATATGGCAGATGGCAACCAATTGATAACAAGAAGGATGTCGATATTTATATGGGAAATGATATCTCAGTAACTACTGACAATGAAAAATATACGGATGTTATTCAAAATGCTGCTGATTCCGACGATGTTCAATATCCAAAATCTTATTCTTTTTTGGGAACTCCGGGGAAAAGGAAAAGGAACGTGGCTTTTAGATCACCGGATAGTCATGAATCGCAAAATGATATACAAGAGCGGAAACTTGATAAACTATGCTGTTTGGTGGAAAAACTCATTGAAAGCCATTCTCCACCTCCTAAGAAAATGACTACCAGTGGTGATGTTGTTAGCGATGATAATATGGGCAGCAGCGAAGAAAAAGATCAACCTGAAAATTAAAAAGAGTTTCTGAACATCAGAAAAATATCTCTTTTTTTCCTGTGTTAAAGCTTTATTTTTGATTTTAAAGGGATTTCTAATGGGTAACGACGGGGACATACTTTTCTTAAATATTCAATCACTGCGCAACCATCATG